GTCTGTAGCGAGAGAGGCTCCCGTCACCAGAAGGGGTGGCTTCCACATGAGGGACTGACACCGGGACCAGGAAGGAAAGCATTAGCTATGCCTGCCACACTGTGTGCCCAGTGCTAAGAGGAAGCAGCCCTGCCTGCTGGCCTTCGGGATCGGAAGTTCCCTGGCAGGCAGGAAGCGACCCGAGGCGGCTACGGGAAAGGAGCTGGAAAACTGGAAACGCGGAGGGCAGGCGGGCTCCCGCCGTTAGGAGCTCCCCAGCCTGCAGCTGAGTTCTGCTCGGGGCGAGAACCGCGAGACCGGGTACGGAGAGGGGAAGGCTCTGCTGAGATCCTGACGGGCGTTTGTCAAGTGCTGGGGCTCGGTCTCCGGGAAAACAGATTCCCTCCGAGGCCGCTTACACTACACAAGTGACCAAACAGAACAATCAGGCTGATGAGAAGCGGGCCATGCCTGAAACACGGGCATCAGAGAGAGAGAAGGCGGGGACCGAGCCACACTACAGCAAGCCACCATTTGCCGTCTTCACCAAGTCTGTTTGTCCCCGAGAAGGACAGTGGGAGACAGACGGGGATGAGGTCCACACGCAGCCGCTTTGCAGACGTAACGGCAGACTGTACCCCATAGGCGCGCGAGTTCTGGGGAATGTCTGCAGACACACACGCCCTGCTGTCCTGAGACAGCTAATGAACGGGACACTTCTTCTAAGCGCAGGCACCGGACGCACTCGGGGTGACTTGGTTCCGGTAACTCCGCGAGCTCGGCATCACCAACACTATTTTAGAGGGAGAAGCTACCCGGTGAATTCTGGAGTTGGCATTTGAGTGCAAAGCCTAGGAGACAGAAAACTGAATTCTAGAAGTAGACTACACAGGGATGCTCCCTTAGGTAGGGAAGAAAGACAAAGACACGGGCATTGTACAGACAGGGAGGGAACAGTAATTCCTTTTCATCCTGAAGAGGCTAGGCTCCAAGGAAGCCTCAGAAGCAGGTGCCGGGGAGAGAGAGGCTGCAGGTCTGGAAGGGCAGGGTCTCCGCTGCCTCTCGCTTGCCAAGCAAGACTGCACGGAGGTGCCGGAATCAGCGGAAGTGAGAGAGGAGAACTTCCCTCTCATTCTCCCTACGTGTGCATAAGGCGAAATTTGGTAATGCCGTGCTGTACCTGGCAGCTGGGCTGAGCCAGGCAGGCATGGGGCTGGACGTCTCATCCTCTGCTGTGATTAGATTAAGGAGAGCTGTAGTAAGAGTGCCTCAGGCGTGGCTGGAAAAAACCCTTCCGTGGCCAGTTATTTCTGCCCCGCCCCAGGCCGCGGCTCTTTCGGAGCGCGGGCGCGCGGGCAGGCGGTTGCTCGCGTGGCGCGTGGCTCGGGTCGCAGCGGCGGCTGGTTCAAGCGCGGGTGCTGCAGCGGGAAGGCGAGGAAGCAGCAGCCCGCAGTGCCTGTATCGCCCCGCGCGCGGCGGGCAGCGGCCCAGGGGACGCGTGGCAGCGCTTGGTCTCGCGGCGGCCCAGCCGTTGGCGAAGAGCGCGTCTGCGCCTGCGCGGAATAAAAAACAAACAAACAAACAAACAAAAAAACCCACCCGTAATTCCCTGAAAGCAAACACCGAGTGTCCGGAGATGCGGCGGGCACCACTACGCGCCCACCCTGGGCGTCAAGGGACTTACTCGTTTTCTCGTGCCCTCCCCCTCCCCCCGCCCCCATCACCCTCCAAGACCGTGAGGGTAAGAATTCCACCTAAAACTGCTGTACCCAGCGACTGGCGCAGAACAGGAACCTGATGCCTTACTAATGAACCACAACCATCGGTAAGGTAAACCCGCCTCCTTCCTGCACACGGACACGGAACGGCGAGACGAGAGACCTTCGGAGAGCGCCACAGCGCCTCAGCTCCGCGCGTGGGAGCACAGGGGCCCCTCCAGGCCGCACAGCCTTCCAGCACTTCAGACACCATGCTTTGCCCACCAGACCGGCCGGGCCTGCAGACGTGCGTCCCCTCTGGGAGCCGGGAACACGTCCCACGGACGCCGCCCTCCCCGCCCTCCTCCAGCCCAGCCTGCCCGGCCTCTACCTTCCACGGGGGAGGTTCTCAGGCGACTGCAGAGGTTCTGCACGCCTCCGTACTGCACGTTGACCTGCGTCACCGCATCGCTCGAACGCTGCTCCATGAGCTTCCTCAGGTCCATGAGTGTGCAGCCAAAGTCCCCTTCGTGACTCTCGGCCACCGAGTTGGCCGGCAAGGCGTGTTCTGATGGGTTCGTCATTTTGCCGGCTGTTACCACGCCCCTCTACCAGACCGGAAGCGGGGTTCCCTTTAACTGTTGGGCGTCTCCTGTCCCCCTGTTCCCGCTTCTTCCTCCTTCTTGCTTCTCTGGGGGCCCCGTCGGGAAACAGACCAACTCTATCTTGTGCAACACGCTTCAGAGGAGCCACGCCAAGTCCAGATCTTCTCTTCTGTGTGAGGCTGGCAGTTGAGAGGAGGAAGAAGGTGGGGGAACGGAGTAGAAGCCGGACGTCGTGTCACAATGATTGGGGTCCCCAGGTGGAGATGGAGTGGTTGACCAGGGTAGGTAGGTTCCTAGCTTAGACTGACTTGCCCAGATGGAGGTACAAACAGGATGTGCACGTTACCATGGAGGCCACCTTAGCAACACCCAGCAACTGCGGTGGTAGAGTGGCAGCAGGAGGAGGAGGACGATGAGGAGGGCTCCCTGGATACCGAGGACGACTGGGTCTCTGGAATCAAGATTCAAAGGGGGACAAAAAGAAACGATCAGAGCGGCCACAGGGACCCAGAAACTGCACAGGCAGAAGGCAGCCACGCCGGGACGAGGGCTGCGGTGACAGTTGGTGTCTGAGCTGGACTGATAGCTGGGGCCCAGCTGAGTCACCTGACTCACGGGAGGCCCTCTCCTCCCTGGGAGACCCCAGCAGCCGGGAAATTCCAAGGCCTGTAAGTTATTTCAGACACCCAGCCTCCACGGCTCCCAAACCAAGCAACGCAAATTCCACAAGGCCACAGCTCTGTGCTCTCCCTGTGGACTGGAGAGACCTGTCCCAGGAAGCTTTAGTCTGATCTTACCTGTAAACGGAGATCAGAGAAAGGAGTCCAGGCCCCAGCGGGCTGGCCAGTGGCCTGCGGCCTGCCGCCCTCCCCGACGCCCCACGTCCCTCCCCATTCCCCACGCACACATCCACACACCAGCAAGATGGCCCGAGAGATGCCTGAACCCTCCAGGGCCCCCGGGAAGCCGCGCCGGCTGCACGGATGTTCTGCAGCCTGTTCCGGCTGCCAGCGGGGCAGGCACCGAGCTTTGGTCCCGAGGCTCTGGGGGGAAGGGCGGAGTAAAGCTCTTTAGCAGTTGGCAGCGCAGGGCGGGCCCCTCTTCTTTTAATTGGAAGGGACCGAAGGCCCTGTGAGCAGGAGAGAGAGTGCGTCAGAAGCCCATGCGTGTGGACGTTTCTCCGGGTGGAAGGGATAAGATAGCAACCGATTCAGATAGGGCAGAGGGGCCCCGGCACTGCCCGCGGCAGGACCAGGCAGTCTGCCTGCCTGTGAGTGAGCCCCAGAGGTCTCGGTTCAGACACCTGGGAGAGAGGCGATGGCTGGAGCTGCCTGGGTTCCCCCTCCCGCAGCAGGGTGTGGGGCCGGGGCTACGTGCAGGTATCGAGGGCTGAAGGGGGAGTTCTGCTCCTGAGTCCTGTTCTCAGCTTCCCAGAGTGGCCAGCGCGTGTCCTGCAGGAGCCGTCGCCACACACCTGCGTTCAGATGAGGAAGGGCTCCTCCCGGAGCAACGCCAGATTCCAGGGCCCGGCCCCCGACCCGAGTTCAGTCAGCAGGGGTGGCAAGGACCTCAGCTCGGCCGCCCTCTATTCAAGATGCCAGGCGAGCCGGGAGACACCAGGACCATCAGATAAGGACTCGAGTCCTTTATCAACCACAGGTGTCCAAGCCCCTGTGACTCCACTGCATGCAGTGGGATGGCGGGTGTCACAGCCCTTCCTCTCCCAGGTGTCGCCTGCCGCCTCCCCCTACCATGGATGCTTGGCACTACTCTGGCTTACAGATGGGAAGCAAGCAGGATTCACCTGTTTCGAAACATCACACTCTCTTTTCGCAGGCCACGGGGAGTCCTGGGGGACGAGGTCTGAAAAGCAGGCAAGGCAGAGGCCTGACCCCCTGTGCGCAGGCTGGCACGGGACCAGGCAGCAGGCGGTCCCCTTATTTGTGCAGTCCTAGCTATGCAGGGAAGCAGGAGTAGAGTTTAAGGTATTTTGAGAGAGAGAGGCCACAGTCATATGACTTTATTACCACATATCGATATAACTGTTCTTTCTCTAAATTAAGTCACTCCTGGCCGGCGCCACGGCTCACTAGGCTAATCCTCTGCCTTGCGGCGCCAGCACACCGGGTTCTAGTCCCGGTCGGGGCGCCGGATTCTGTCCCGGTTGCCCCTCTTCCAGGCCAGCTCTCTGCTGTGGCCAGAGAGAGTGCAGTGGAGGATGGCCCAAGTCCCTGGGCCCTGCACCTCACGGGAGACCAGGATAAGTACCTGGCTCCTGCCTTCGGATCAGCGCTGTGGGCGGCGGCGGCCATTGGAGGGTGAACCAAGGGCAAAGGAAGACCTTTCTCTCTGTCTCTCTCACTGTCCACTCTGCCTGTCAAAAAAAAAAATTTTTTTAAATTAAGTCACTCCTGTTAACCTTTTGTTCGGTTTTATAAATTAAACTTT